GCTGAGAATGTTGCGAAGATCTTGCAAGAGTATCAAATGAATGCGCCGAAGAAGTGGGGGAGGTTCGAAGACGGACGGCCAGGCAGCAGCTCGGACTAGTCTTCCCGCTGCTGCGGAGCGCAGCAAGAGACAGCTGCGAACCAATCAAAAGGGCAGTCTACTGGAGGCCTCTGGTACAATGAACCCGTGCCCTCCAGGATCACTTATCTGTCGTCCATATGGTAGCGCTGCAACGAGTTATGCGTGCTTTGCGGTGGTCGTTCTGCGATGTTATACCAGACATAATGCAATGCTGTAACGAAGTACTCTCCTCTCCCTCATACTGTAAAACTATCGATATGGTGTTATGGTTACTAAATCTCAAACCCCTAACCGCTTCGATCACCTGACTTCTTGCCTACGCCTGCTTGAGAAGGTCACGACAGCCAGCACACGCAACAATCTTGCAGCCAGGGCAACGAAAAGTGTAATAAGGCATATGACGGCGGCATGACCCACAAGCTCTTTGATGGAATTTGCGATTCCACCACCTCATATGTTGACATGAGGAAGGCGTTTTGTAATGCCGATGTTGGCCTCCTTCGTTCTGAGACGTGGTTGTCGACTGTGTCTTTGCTGACCTTTTGGACTCCTCACGTGCTGTGCTCTTCCGCAGGTCCGCCTCTTGCTTCTGTGCCTCCCGCTGCTTCGGCTCTCGCTGCCATGTTTCTCTTCGCCGCTGCTGCTCGGCCAAATGCACACAGGTCTTGATCTCTTTGAGCACGGGCCATACAAGCCGAAATATGAGTCTAATACTGCCCAGGGCCCAGATCTGGACACTTCACAGAAACGATTAGGTCAGCCAGTTGTGTGGGTCGAGCTAGCTTCCACCAAACCTGACCGAGAGCAAGCGGGATCAAGACTAGGCAAGGGAGTTGGCAGATACGCCACAGCGTCAACATCAGTACAGTATGGGCCGTGTTGGTGTGCTCACATCTGATCAATCTGAAGGCTGGGCACCATGGTCTATTCCTGCGCCCAAGGCTTAGAAGAACGCACGATGTATCTTCGTCAAAGCTTCGGCACCAAGATCAAAATGCACAACACCATCCTGGGGCTCATGATTCAGCTGACCCCAGTCTCTGTTGTTGTTGGTCGTACGAAGTGTGCCCAAAGTAGTCCTCCACCATCCTGTTCTACAAAGTCCTTGCTGTCCTGCCTGTCATTGGATACGAGCATGAGCTAGCGGAAGCCACGCATCAAGCTACAACCAAAGCGATGTAATGACGTCAAGTAGACGTCGTCTGCTTCCCGTGTGAACTCAAGCTACTTAAGTATACCCCTCTTCCCTCCTGATGCGAAACTCTTGGCTTCTTTTAATATCCAGGTGCTCTTGATCATGGATTCTTCCCTATTCTGCTGTGGCGCTATCCAACCATATCGACCACAGGCCCTCGACCATGAGTCGAAATTCTCAGGCTTCCTCGCCTGGGCCAATGAACAGAAAGATGACATTCGCAGAGAAGAAGCCTGCCCGGAAACTTCACATTCCATCCAACTGGTCCGCCAGATCAACTACGGTCCGCTAGAATCCCTTCGTTACTTTGCTCGCTCGGTTCCAATAGGGAATATGCGGAGATACAAGAAGAGCAGCTTCTACAAGCGAACTTTGAGAAGGTCAATTCGTACGTCACGATGTCATGCCCCAAACCGTCCGCAGCTGGAAACTTACATCAGGTTTCAAGATACAAAAATTTCAGATGTGGCATTCACGACAAGTTTTACGAGCTGAACCTCTACCAAAAATCTCCTATCAACTCTCACCATTGGCGAGCCACCCTCGCCAGACCCTCGAGGGACATCGACCTCCATCTGAGATTTCCAAAAGAGCAGCCGGTCGTCAGTCCTTCTACGGGGGGCTTTCCACGTCCAACTTTGCCACCACCCGCAACATTCAGGTTGGGCCAAGTTGTTGCAGAGTCTTCGTCATGTGCAAGGGGGTCTTCGGGTGGAGGCGATGGACAACCTGGCTCAGGTGTATCTTCACCTACAAAGACCGACGATTCACCAATGAATCAGATCCTTGCTGCCCTTCATTCGCGTCAGCGAAAGCCTGGCGGCAAAGGCAAAGTCATTGGAGTCCTCGCTTTCGACACGCTTCAGACAACAATTCTATCCGTAGACATAGATGTCCGTGTAGACTTGGACGAGTTGTGGAGAGAATGTCTTGTAGGGCCTGAAATATTAGGATTTCTCCTTGATTGCAATACGGCTGACAACCCAGTGTCTGGTGATCAAAAAAACGGGCTGCAGGACGTGGCTATGGCAGCTCTTGACGAAGTCTCTCAGAGAGGGTTCAGCATGCCAACCGGTCGAGACTGTCTGGTCGAGGTTCTTTATGTAATGCTTCAAAGGAAGAGTGATGTTGAGTCTTACAGACAACTAATCCTTCAGGGTCTGGAAGTTGCTGATGGCTCAGGGCCGGAGAGTGCGAGAGGCGATCTGGAAAGCGACGACAAAGCACATTGGTGGAGCTATGACAGCGATGAAGATCGTTACGACTATGACGGCTCTGAGCATGACTCCGTCAAAGACTTCACGGCGTGTGACAAGGAGTGTGGATACTGCGGTCATTGCGATTATAAGTTAGTACAACTGGGGTTTCTGTAAGCCTGCAGTTGAGCAACTGGAGCAAACATCCGCCTTACTGTCGCAGAGTTCCAGTCGTGACTCTTCGTCTATTCTGAACCAGCTCGCAATACTGTGCAAGGCGTCGAGATAGAATACAAGCCGCAGAAATGCCTCCATGTAATTAGAACAGAGAGAAAGACTGTGAGTACAGTAACTCCAGGTTAGTACCTTCCCATGCTTCTTAATAGCACAAACGCGTCACGGCATTAGACACCTGTAGTGGCCACCCGGTTCCTGTGGGCAACCCAAGCCGAATGGTGCACAGGTCGACTGGAGCCGAGGGAGCTGGAGTCGCATGGCCGTTGTCGGAATTCTACAAGAGGGGCCTCCGTCTTGAGCAGCACATTGGGCTGCCTTGGACGATCTCGAAGTACTTCGAAAACGCCAAAACTGCCCTCATCAAGGCGTTACACCGCGTTCAATTCGGGTCCAATGCACGGTACGTCCCGAATCGTACCTCTACTTTGAGATTCTCCCCTGCGCAGTACCAGATTGAAGCCAGAAACTGCTTTGCCTAGCACTGGTTCTGGGTTCTGGGCTAAGCAGCGTGCGCCCAGATCTTGTTGGATGGGTTTGTTGGAGACCTACGCCTCATGGTGGTGGCTCAATCACCCAACGACACCCACCTTAGGCGACCCAAGATCACCCGCCACCAGCCATCACACATCTATCAGCAACGGCCGCAAGAGTAGAGCACACGAACAAGAGCGTAAAATGGCCGGTTCTTAATCTGATCATGTCCACCTGAATCAGAGAACAAACCTCAGTGGCGAATTGCTCTCTGTCGCTAGAATGAGTGCATCGCGCCTCGGTCATTCCGGGATTCAGTTGGTCAACGGTTTCACATGTTGGCCGTACACAGGCCGAAATGACAGCTCAGGGCCTTGAAGACCTTGATCCAGCAGTCCACCGTCTCTTGTCACAGAGTTATGTAGTGATGTTAATTTGCGGAGCGGGAGCTTTGCGCAACGCTGTTGAATTCCTGACGATCGTTAGCCCGTATATAGCAATCGTAACACGGAAAGACTTGCGTTCAGTAAGGCGGACAGCCTAAAAACTGGTTCTCGACCACTGACGTCTTCAAATCTACCACGAACGGGTGCAGAATTGGACTAGAGAGTGCATCTCGTAGAGCCCTGTCGCTGTTGGAGTAATGAGCGAATAGCCCCGTAGTACACCAATGTCGTTCTCGAAGTCTCTAGTGTGTCAACATCGTCGGTATCGGCGTCTGCGTCTTCACCGCTTCGCCGGTTACCTACTTCCTCTCCGCTCTCAGCGTCATCGTAGGCGTGCAGCACACTCTCCGGTATGTTCTGAGCTTGAAAGAAGCTCATCAAAGACAGTAATTTGGCTGCCTGGGGGCGCTCGCGCCTGATCTGCTCAAACGTCACCTGCGACGTTACGACCACAGAATTAGATACGCCATCGCGGCGTCCGAGGTCCCTTTCATCACTGCGGAGTAGGCCGTCTCTGCGCCTTTAGTTCTTGAGGAACTCAATCAAGTACGACGCAGGAGTACCTCGCGGACTGCGCCTGTTGATGTAGGCTGATGCTTGATTGACGCTAGTGGGATATGGTTGAGGGCAAACGAGGTCAATCGCAGGCGCTTCGTCCACTTCTTTGTCAAGCTCCTTTTGCAGAACTTGTAGCGCCTGCTTCTCCTCCATGACTGGTATGCGCAGTATTGTCCTACCGCTACCGGCGAGCTTCTCTATAGCGTCTAGACTGCGTAACGTGAATAAGATTTCGCCGCCAGCCGTCTTGGGCAGGTGTGAAGCCAGTGGTTCATGCGCGCCGTCTTCACTGCCCTCTTTCGCAAAAAACACGCCAACATCATCGGCGCTATCGACGATCATGAAGCATGAGCTGACATCCTTCCAGCGCCAGCACATTGACCTTGAGGTCGTGCCGGCGAGGCAGCGCCAGAAGGTCTGCGAGGGCGCGGTAGGACTCTTCAAACGTCTCTTCACTGTTTCTACTCGCGATCAGAACACAGGTGTCATTGGGGTCTTTTCTCAATGTAGTTCAAGCTCACGATGTCTGACATTGGGCCTAGTAGAAGATGACTAGGAGTTTGTGGCGAAGAAGAAACGGGGGCAATATATCAGAGCGTTGCCATCATCATTCGCCTGCTATTTGAAGAAGAATCAAATCTGTCAAGGGAGACTGTTGCCAGTGGTAGTATGGTGGGGTGACGCTCATGGGGTTCATGATGGACGATTGAATGGGCCACTGTCGTGGTAGGTTCGGCACCACCAATGACAGGGGGCTAAAAAGAATACGCTATACCTAAAAGAAAACTAGCACACGTGATGCGTGACAACCCCGCTCAACAGGTTGTCCCACAGGGCATCTTTGACAAGATTCACTTGTCTTCTTGCCCACGAAACCGATTCCTCAGGCTTCCTTCCATGATGAGCCAACCACCGAATGTCCCAAAACACCGAACCCGCCACGACTCTCTGCCGACCCAGTCTTATCTCCTGACGCCTCTGTGAGCTCACCTGCCAGCGAGATCCCTGGTTCCACGCCCAGCTCGGCAATCGACCCCGTCAAGCTACCACATCTTAAGCATGTGACGCGGGACATCAAACAAGCGAAGAATACGGTCGTTTTCCACGCTACGACGTACAATTACCAAGAACTGCTCACAAAGCGCTTGGATGTCGACGAGGGATCGTGGAATGTCGGTGGCGCGCTTGACAGCGCAACCGCGCAGCTCTTGATAAAAGCAATCGGTGACGATAAAAAGGCAGCCACCCCTGGATCCCCCGCGCCGTCGCAAGACTCTCAACGGAACTTCCAGCGCGTGGGATGTGTCGTTGGGTTTCGTGATGGCGATTTAAGAAAAGTGTAGATTTGCGGTTATAATTACATTCGTCTCTGCGACTTCAAAAAATCTTGTAACTCCTCAGACGTTGTTGACATGATGAATTGTTTTGCCCTACTGCCTAGCTTGATGCGCCTGGCCTCAAAGAGCTGGTCCCGCGATGTGATCAGCATCTGCTGCGCGTCGTTACCAATATCCACATCCTCCACGACATGAACACCGCTGGACGATGCTTGCTCGGCAGCACGATGGAGGACTGCCAGACACTGCTCGGTGCTGTGGGACTCGTGCAGAAACGCTTGGGTCTCGGGGGAGGAGGTAGGCAGAGCGGCCTGACGGTGATGCACTGGTAGAGACTGGGATCGTCCGGCCTGTTCTTCTTTGGCCCGGAGGTGGATCGCCAGATCGTCTTGGCACCTTCTCAGCGCCAGGAGAGTCACAAGTTCCGCAAGAGTCAATTGCTCGGCCTCCATAGCTGTGTGTGCGCCATCCTTGTATCTCTTTCTTGCTTCAACAAGTTGGGTGATGCCCTGGGCGCATATGTCTAGACACTGCTGCGTACTCTGCCGTTCCCTTTCGAACCACTGTCTCTCCTCAGCATTGTCGGCAGGTTGCTGGTCACCGAGTGAGGTAAGTGAGTGTAGTTTCCTGTTAATGTCTTCGAGATGACTCTCAAGGTCTTGAGTCGTAGCTTTAATCATGTCTTGGTACTCGTCGAGGGCAGCCCGTGTAATCTTGCTCGACCGTCTGCTGTCTGTTAGCCGGTAGTCTAGCACATGAAGACGTGTCTCACAGGTTCGCATAAGCGAGCGCCACAGACATAGTGGACTTATACCCAGCGAGCATTTCGGTGAAGCCCCGGATGTCTGCGTCCATGTATCGCAGTCGCATCCAGTCCCGCACGCTAGGCCAGGCACCATCAGAATGGGTTGTGCACTTCACTACTAGCGCCTCAAACTCGCTACACGCCTTGCCACACTGGCGTAGCGGGAGCTGAAGCGGCAGAAAGAACATCTCCTCTTGCTCGACTGCGTCATAAAGAGAGTCGAGGACACCGTCAAGGCTCTTGAGTTCATCTCGTAGCTGCCTCACGGCGCGGGGTTGATCACGGAAGCTTTGCACCGTCTGGTATAGGGTCTTTGTAGCTTGCGCCGTAGTGAAGACGACGCCAATCACGCTCAGAGGGTCTGCCATCGCGCGTCGAAGGGTAGCTTGATGATAGACCGAAATTACTCAAGCAGCTTGCGGTGGCGAGACGAAAGCTTGACCAAGTCGAAGGCCGTGGAAAGGCTGAGCGCATCCCATATCCGTCACGTGGTCGCGACCCCATTTGAATGGTCAAGGTAGTGCGAGATTCAGCCTACTTCGTCGACTGATCACGACCATCGCAACTGGCAATCACGACGAGCTCAGCTCACGATTCCGATTAGCTTGATGTTCAGAATCGGCCCCGACAAATGATGACCGAGCACACCTGCGATACGGGAGCGAGCAAACGTAAGCCCACGCGTCCGAACACGATCGGTCCCGACCTCTGCCTTGATTGGCAAAAGCCGTGCATAGACCAGAAGCGCAGTATAAAGCTTCAGACGGCGCGGAATCCCAACGCCAAGCACCTGGCTTGAGGCGCTTGTACATCGGAGGGAGAGGCTAGGCCCTTGAGGCGTGGATCATCAGCACCCTTCACCGACATCACTATGGCCATGTTTGGCAACAGTCCAAACTTTCCGACCTGCGAGAGACGACCCCAATATGCCCGTTGGCTGTCATCCAGAAGGCGTCTTCTTCACAGACCCTGGAAAGTTGCTCCAGCTAGCCCCAAAGACTGTAACCAAGTCTGCACGTGGTGCTGGCAGCAAGCTCTGTAGCATCGTCGTGTCTTTTGGGCCCCCTGCATCGCCAGCGGGACGCGTGACGGGATGAATGATACCCTTGGGATGTGACCAAAGCCATGGACAATGGACGTAGCTCACGAGAGCCGGCTCGAGCCACTGCTGGTCGTCTCGTGCTGTATGTACGCCCAGAGGCTCATCTGTGTTACGGGTTTAAGCAGCACGAAGGAAAGACCTCTTCCGAATGACCCGATCATCACAGCAAGACGCGCTCGATGAATCACCACCGAGCACTTGGCGATGTGCGACAGTGTCACGTCATGTAAGTGTCATCGGTAACATGCTAGCTGCGCCTGTCCAACAGCCAGTCTGGCGTTCGGCCTTGCGATGACGGCACGACGGAAGGAACTGGTGTTAATTCGGTGGTGTCTTGTACTGGCCGAATTTAAGTCAGTGCGGAATGAGTGGAGTGAGTGCATTCCTCATAGTGAGCAAGAGTTCGATCATTGGACGAACAGGATCCTAAATCTTCGTGTGCTCGGTCGCCTCGTGGCAGCTACCGGACAGGGCATACACTCCAGGAAAACGACCAGCCGATTGCTAGTTCGTAATGTACTGCGTTTCAGCTTCCCACAACCTCATACTGGTCGCTCAGAGGTGTATCGAGTAATGTATCTGCAGAGGTTAGCCACCGCCACTGCGCCAATGCTTCTGACAACCACCACGGCCGTGATACATATATTCCCTTTCCACTACCAATGTAGTAAGTAGTGAAGTGGTTGGGCTCTGTGGGACGAGAGTGCCTATGGCCAGTCATGTCTCTCCCTTCCGTATCGATGCACCAGCATTAAACGACGAGGACGTCGCATACCAAGGTCGTGAACCATTGTGGAAAGATCTCAATGAACTCAGACTCCTGAATTGAGAGTTCCAGTCCACGATATTCTTCCTTTGTTAAGACCGCTCGTACGAGACACCCCTCTTATCATGTCATTCATGGATTCACTTCTTGCCAGCGAGAAATGACGGCCATGGCATCTTCTAGCCGCAAGAAGCACAAAACGAAGTGTGTAGACTCACACGAGCTTATGGGACAGAGATGCCCGGAGCCCACCGACTTCGATGTGTCGAGGAACGCCTTACGTACTCGTCGTACCTTTGCATGTCGTGTCTTTTGCCGACGTACTTCATGCGAAAGTGTCTGTCACTGCTCACTCAGTACCTTTTTGCGCCATGTTCCCTGCACTTACCAATGTCACCGAAGGAGGTTTCCGGCGCCATGTCAATCCTTCACGTTACTATTATGGTTTCCAAACTCGAAAAGCGAGTATTCGTTAATCCAAGTTTCTCTTTCTAGTATTCTACGCCAGCGAGTCCTGGAACTCCGGACTAACTTCGGCTCCAGGTTTGATCGCTGACTAATAAGGCTATCTCTCTCGTCCTACCTGAATATTAGCACACTCTTCCTCCAGCTTGACGTTGATCTCACAGCTCTCACACTCACGCTTACACAGTGCCGATAGTCGTGTAATAAGGTTGAAGCCCAGCTACTCGATTCCTGCTTACGCTCTAGCCCTGACCGGATAAGCTTCCGCGATTAGGCTAAACTGAAGTTTAACGGGAGCGATAGTTTAGAAGGCTTTCGGCAATAGCTAATTAGATATAACTCCACTATTATAATTATCTTAAGCTTCGCGAATCTATTAGTATACTATTCTACTTAGATTAACTTAGCTAACAAATATACCTTCATAGCCGCACATCTACTACGAGCACCTAGTCTATATATACCTATCGAGAATTAATCGCGAGTACAATAGTTAATTTAAAGCCTACCTAGACTATATTTAATAAAAGCTCGATACTTTAACTTATCGCGCTATTACCGGTCCGAATCTCGACGTAACTACTCGCTAGTATATAGAGGAGGAAGAAAAGAGCACTAAAAGGGGTCTCGAATTCTATACTATACTTTTATAAGCGATTAAATAGACCGAGGTCGTATTCTTTAAGGTCGATAGCAGTTCGGCAAGCGCCTAGGCTCAGGTCTCAACCTCCTAAATATTATTTAGTAAAGGAATCGAGGGGATTAAATATTATATACGCTTCATACTTCGATAGCTTAAGGAGCATCGGGAGAAGATTATAGACAGCCTAATTAGCAGCTTAAAAACACTAATATTAGTATAAGACTAGACCTCGCTCGATAACCTCGAGAGACAAGCGAATACTCTAAGATAGTACCAGGCCTCTACTCGAATATCGATTCTATATTAGAGTCGTAAATTAGCAATATCGAAAACAATATAGAAAGCGACGACACGATTCAATTCATAGTATTAACAGATAGCAAGACGATTAACGGCAAAAACCGAGCCATTAGGAAGAGACTTAAGCAAGCTTATAGTCATTTTAGCGAAGACTCTCTTTAATAGGTCTCCTAGGATTTCAAAGCTATCAGCATTCACTACGCCGGCCTCCAAAGGCAAACCCCTAAGCAATCGGCCATAGAGCCTAGCACTCACGATACGACGGCTGGAATAGACTCGGCTTTCAGGCACCGGCATGGGCCAGGTATTACGCTCGCGAAGCAACACATACCTAGCGCTACCGGTACTAGTCAGACTAGTAATTGAATTCGCACAATCACTAGGGGTTAGCTCGTGAGGCTATCGCAAATATATATTATAGGCTCAGTAGTAGTATGAACCGGAGAGAATCAACCTAGTATTAGCATAATAGAAGACGATCTAAGCGCTTATAACAACACTTTTAAAATTAGCTAACCTTTAAATCGCAATAGTATTTTGACCCACGTCTAGACTCTATATCCGTATTACCAGGGTTACTCTTTAGCTACTTTTAGTCACGGAGACTATATCTAGTCAAATAAGACAAGAAGTAATATAGAATATATTATAATTAATATATACGCGCTATTTATCTAAGTAAAGAGGACGAGAAGGGCCCTTCATAGAGGGCTCGGAAAACGAAGGCGATAATTTATATAATAGTCGTATAGAGGACTCTATCTTAGCGCTTTTCATGGCCTCTAGGCTCGGTATATATATATATCACGACCTAACTAGGTAGTCATCAGGACACTATGTGAGATTAAGCATTTAGTGATCATGCACCTAATGTATAATAGTAGTAATGAACATAGTGATTTAGAATCTCAGCCACAGCGGGGAACGCAGTAGCTCCTTGCTAGTAATACGCCATATCGAGTCACTAGTAGGGTTCTTAAAGCCAACGCCGAACCAATAATTTCGCGCTAGGTCCCTACAGTATTTTCAGACCGCATTAGCTTAAAACGTAGCTGGGGATATACTATTTTCTACCTAGCGTATTAATAAGCAAACACTAACTCCCAGGTAGTAAAGTAACCGTCCTCGACTAGAAGTTACCTATCTGTCTAGAGTCACGATAGGCGCCGATAGCTCTATCCATATAATACGTCGCGCCTACTCGCACTTTCCAACCCCCCCGGACGCCTTACCTCCCCACTATAGCAGATCAACGTCGACTAAATATCATTAAGGACAACCCTATTAAGACCGGACTTAAGGGCTTCCGCGCTTCTTTCAAGGCCGCCTATATAAACCAGGGTATCTCTCCCTTACTAGACTCGCTTTACAAGCTTACGAACGATAGTAATACAATCCACCCTACCGAACCTACACTACTAACCTTATAGAATTCTAAAACTTAGCTCTCGATCTCCTCCTAGCGCTCTAAGGTTACTAAGCGTCCTATCTACTTCGCTTAGGCAGGAGAGGGAAGAACCTCTTTAGCGACTTATCAAGACTTAGCTCCGCTATTAACTCCGATAACTTCGATTTTAACCGTATTAAACTACTTTTTAAAGTATCCCTAGCCGATACCCTTAACGACGCGTTAATCTAGGATCACGTCTATAATACCGTTACCGAAGCGACCCCGCCGCTGCGATTAATAGCATCCTCTCTATAATAAACCCTATAGCTCCGCAATACGAGCAGCTTTACGAACTCGTCCGAGCATCGGAAATATATAGACCTTATACTTAGGGAAGAGCTCAGCACTATATATATCGGGCTCCCTAGTTTCTATAAGATATTTTTCGGACGTATAGCTAATCTTAATATAGCTTCTCGGGTAATATTATAGACGTACGAGGAAGGCAGTAACCCTCTATTTCGCGAAGGGTAGACTAATTAGCCGAATAATGTAAATTAAGACGGTATACTTAGCTAGTTCGCGGATATTAGCGATAAGCTAGCAGCCTTCGCAGAATCGTATAAGCCCACTCTGACCGGCCGGAGGCCGTTAGTATAGCCTAATAAGCCGATCCACGGTTCTACGGCAGAGCGTAAGCTA